TTCCTCGTCGTCTGAGCTATCTGTCAGGGTGCCGCTGCTGTCTATAGGTTCGTATTCTGAGCCCGATTCTGCCAGTGAGTCTTCCCCTTCGCTCTCACTTGACATGCCCAGAATCCTATAGGCCTCTTCACTAGAGTACCTTTGGTTGGACATTTTGGCCACTAAATTTACATGTACCTAGTGCGACTCACGGGAAAAGGAGGGCCTGGCTGTCAGGGACTGCTTGAACCGCTACAAAAAAATTTACCGACAAGTGCTAACAGAGATCAGGCCTGATTCTGTGAACACTGCGTTTTGTGTGTAATGTATCAAGTGACAGTTATCTACTGACACTGCACTTGCTGGGGGAGAAGAAGGGGGGGGCGTAGGGGCTAAACGCAGGTGCTGACAGGTGTCGGGCTGATCCAGCTAACACTGCGTTTTTGGGGATACTATAGCAATGTGAACGCTGGTATAGCGCTGATCTGATCAAAGATATTGATCCAATCAGACACTATACTAGTAATGGAGGTTTAGCGTGCAAGTGAGCGTGTTCCTGGCAATCAAGGGGTCAAAATGTGATTACTTGTGTACTAGTGGGCAATCTGACGCTATCTGGGAGGGGCGCTAACTCACGCTAACACTATCAGAAGTCACCAGTGACACTAATACAGTGATCAGTAAAAATCTGTTCACTGTAATCAATGACACTGGTGACAGGGCAGTGAAGGCGTTAACTGGGGGCGGGGCGATCAAGGGGTTAAATGGGATTACTGGTGTACTAGCAGGCAAACTGGCGCTATCTGGGAGGGGCACTAACACTATTGGAAGTTGCCAGGGACACTGATACAGTGATCAGTAAAAATCTGTTCACTGATCAATGACCCAGGTGACAGGGCAGTGAAGGGGTTAACAGGGGGGGGGCTATCAAGGGGTTAAACAGGATTACTGGTGTACTAGCGGGCAATCTGGCGCTATCTGGGAGGGGCGCTAACACTATTTGAAGTCGCCAGGGACACTGATACAGTGATCAGTAAAAATCTGTTCACTGATCAATGACACTGGTGACAGGGCAGTGAAGGGGTTAACTGGGGGGGGGGGGGGGCGATCAGGGGGTTAAATGTGTCCTAGGTGTGTTCTAACAGTGGGTATGTGCTGTTTTACTCACATTTCTTCTGTCTTCTTCTCTGTCTGGAATGGAATGTGCCCAGGCAGAGAAGAATGACATCATATCCTGTCCTGTGTAACTGTCAACACAGGACAGAATAGGACAGGGACCGATCATCCGATTTCAGCTGGACATCACAGGCTGAAATCGAATGATTGATCCCTCCGGGATCAAATCGTGACACCCGCGGGTCGGCTGGAGCGTGCGCGTGCGCCCCCTGCCCGCGAAAACCTCGGGAGCACGGAGCACGTTTTAAAAACGTGCTTTTGCACAGCTGTGCCACCCTGCAACCGTTTATATGCAGTGGCTGGGTGGCAAGAGGTTAACTCTATGTTGATGCCTGTTGTGAACACGGATTGTTTTCCACCAGGGAATGAAAAGATTGCAGGGAGATGGATAAGGAAAGGAGATGCCCAATTAAGAGACCTAATGAATGGCGAGGAAATATGCCCCTTAGTAGAATTAAACAGGAAGAGGGAGTTGTTTATTAAAGTAGATGAGTGGCGATATTTACAAATAAAACATTTTATAGGAAAACTTCCTAGGCCCTTAAGGAAGAAAGAACAGTGGAACCCATTTGAAAATTTGTTTAGTACACGGGGAGATGGGAAACATGGAACTTCAAAAATATACAAAATTCTTACTAAGTTAACAACAAAAATGGTACCGGCATATATAGAGAGATGGGAGAGGGAATTAGGAATAAAAATAGAGGAGGATAAACAAAAAAAGTTTTACAAGTTAACACACGGTAATGTGAGTATGAAAGAGGTAGAGATGAATTATAAATGTTTGGCGAGGTGGTACATGACACCAAATGTAGTACACAAACAAAATAGGGATAAATCACCTTTATGTTGGAGGGGTTGTAGGGAACAGGGCACAGTAGGTCACATTTGGTGGGAATGTCACAAAATTAAAAAATATTGGGAAGAAGTACTTCAGTTGACACAAGAAATAACTGGGATAAAATTTTAAACCTGGGGTATGTCTCTTACATGGAACAGAGTTAATGGTTGAAAGGTATAAAAATTCTGGATTATTGCACTATATTAATGCAGCAAAGGGTTTGATTACTAAATTCTGGAGAAAACAAGAAGCACCAAAAATATCGGATTGGATTAAAAAGGTAGACCAGATATACAGGATGGAAGAACTATACTATATAGACAAGGATAAAGTGGAGTGTTTTTGTAAGAAATGGAAAAAGTGGGTGGAATTTAAGAAGGTAAATTAAATGAAATTGTTTAGAAGAAAAAATACATGTATACCCTAGGACTCCAAAAAGAGAGAGAAAAGATACTGAAAGGTGGGGGAAGGGAGGTGGGAGGAGAAGGTAAAGGGGGGAATAGGGAGGGGGGAAAGGGGAGTTTGTAATTTTTTTTGTATGTTGGGTGAAAATAATGGAATAAGTTACGTTGGAATTTTAATTGATGGAAGAGATAAAATGTAAAACTCAATAAAATATTAATAAACAATAAATAAATAAATATAAGGGTGTTACAGAAAACCCCTTCCCATTTCATGCTGTCAGCAATGGCACCACATTGAAGAGAAATGCCTGAGAAAGAAAGTCATTTCTTTACACAACAAAGGTGAAGGCTACAAGGAGATACAAAAATGTAACAAAGATGAAACTGCAACCATCTCAGAGAGAAATGCAGGCCATCGATGGAAGTTAATACCTCGAAAGAAGCGTCTTCTGAGGAGAAGGGTTGAAGAAAATCACCATGCAAGTTAGCTAAAGTGAACTGCAGCTGGCTAAAGAAGTAGAAAGCTAAACTGGGATGATTGTTTACCATGACACAATGTGGCGTACAGTGCAGAGGAATGACATGCATGGGTGTCGTCCACGAAGGAAGCCTCTCCTAAAGCCCATGCACTAAAAACCCTGCCTAGAATTTGCCAGGGCCCATGCTGAAAAAGACAAATACTGGCACCCTGTACTTTGGAGTGATGAGACCAAGATACATGTTTTTGGAACCGATGGCTTAAAAACTGTATGGTGTTTGCAAAGGTGTGGAGTACAAAGAAAAATGCATGGTGCCTACAGTGAAACATGGTGGTGGCAATGTCCTTCTGTGCATGAGTGCTTCTGGTGTCAGGGAGCTGCATTTCATTGATGGTATCATGAATTCACAGATGTACTGCTAGATATAGAAGGCCTGGCTTGCAGTCTCCGCACTAATTCATGCCAAAGTATTTTATTAATTTCAGCGTTTCAACATTACAAAAATAAATGATCACAATACTCAACTCTACAGAAAAAAACATTTTCCTTTTCATATTTCCCTCAAAACCCTCCCCCCCCAATCCCTACCCCCCCCCCCCCCCCCCCCCCTACCCCTGCCTCTATCAGCTCCCATTTATTTTCCCTTTATCTCCCAGTTCCTCCTCTCCCCTTATTACTCTCAGGACTTCCTTCTCCTCCTTCCTTTCCTCCTGTCTGTCATTTCCCAGCTATTTTATACATGTGATCTCTTCTCGTCATTCTCTATTCCTACCAATTCAACATATTTATTTGATCTTTTCATTTTTCCCATTTTTTTAAATCTCTCCATTTTATCTTCTTCAATGTGGTAGAGTTCCTACACCCTATAAATATAGTCTACCCTACTTATCCAATCTTTTATTTTTGTTGCCTCCAGTACCTGCCAAAATTTGGGTATCATTCCCTTTGCTGCAATTATTATATGGAATATCATCAAATTCTTATATTTTTCTACTGTAATCTCAGTTTTATGAAATAAGCATATGCCTGGATCTTTCAAGATATTAGTCCCTAAAATCTCCTGTGTTTGGTGAATTATTTCTTCCCAATACTCCTGTATTTTAGGGCATTCCCATCATATATGTGCCATTGTACCCTTAATCCCACATCCCCTCCAAACAGGTGATTTCTCTGCTTCTTGCATGTGTGCCACCTAGTTAAACATTTATAGTTCATTTCCACCACCTCCATGTCTATAGCCCCATGCGTTAATCTAAATATTTTCTTTTTTTGCTGCTCGTTAAATGATATTTCAAGTTCTCTTTCCCATTTTTCCATGTGCGGCGGGGAAGTAGATCCTGCTATTGCAGTAAGGATTTTAAAAATATGTGAAGTACCATGTTTTCATATCTTACTTGTACTAAACAGTTGTTCAAAAGGATTTAAATCCTCCATTGTCTTTAGCGGCTTTGGGAGTATTGCAACAAAAGTGTCTTAATTGAAAATATCGCCTCTCATCTAACATGAAAAAACACCTCCTTCTTGTTTTTTTAACTCCTGAAAAGGAGCATATTTCTCCTTTTTTCATTATAAGCTGGAAAGAGCAGGGCCCTTGAATCCCTCGTGTTTTGTTTTGTTACTGTATTGTCTCATGTTCTGTCCCCCACTATAATGTACAGCGCTGAGCAAACCTTTTAGTGCTATATAAATACTGTATAATAATAAGTATATCTTTTAACTATGTATTCCCTTTTCTTATCCATTTACCAGAAATTCCCTGGACAGAAGAAATATGTTCCCACCAGCGGTATTAACATTGAATTAAACTCCCATCCCATTTGTTTGTGAATTATCTCCCAAACCCTAATTACATTTCGTGTATAAATGTTTGTGCTTTCAGCCAACTTACGATACTGATGAGGCAACCAAACAATCCTGTCAAGTTGTGTCTCATGTGTGTTGTGTTTTCTATATTAACCCAACTTTTCCCCTGAGCATTATATGTCCAATGAAAAATATGTGACAATAATACAGAGTAGTAATATCTCTTAACCGCCTCCCGCCCACCATATAAGGAAATGATGGACTGGTGGTGGTTCTCTCGTTCTGGGAGGACGTCATATGACGTCCAACCACTCTAACCACATGTGCACGCTCCCGGGGGCGCGCAGCGATCGGTGGTGTGCTGTGTCCCTGGGACACAGCGGATCACCGATCAGCAGAAAGAGCTGATTACTTTGGCTCTGTCATGTGATCAGCTGTGTCCAATCACAGCTGATCGCATGTAAATAAGGAAATGCGGGTTATCAGCATCTCTCTCCTCACGAGCTGTCACGTTGACAGCTCGCGAGGAGAGAAGAGCCAGTAATCGGCATTCCTCAAAGGGGACATCTACACTGATTATCAGGGCACTGATGATCAGTGCCCTGATGATCATTGTAGCCTCATCAGTGCCACCTGTCAGTGTCCATCAATGCCACCTGTCAGTGCCCATCAATGCCACCTGTCAGTGCCCATCAGAGCCACACCAATGCCACATATCAGTGCCTACCAATGCACATCAATGCCACATATCAGTGCCCATCTGACCTGCCTTTCAGTGCCAAATATTAGCGCCACCTATCAGTGCCAGTCAGTGCCACCTATCAGCACTGCCAATCAGTGCCGCCTATCAGTGTCAGTCAGTGCCGCCTAACAGTGCCAGGCAGTGCCGCCTAACAGTGCCAGTCAGTGCTGCCTATCAGTGCTGCTTATCAGTGCCATATATGAGCACTGCCTTTCAGTGCCCATCAGTGATGTCTGTCAATGCACACCAGTGATGTCTGTCAATGCCCATCAGTGCCACCTACCAGTGCCTCCTCATCAGTGCCCATCAGTGCCACCTATCAGTGCTCATCACTGCAGTCTCAATACCGCACATCAGTGAAGGAAAAAAAGTACTCATTTACAAATTTTTTAACAGAAACTAAGAAAAACACTTTTTCAAAGTTTTCAGTTGTTTTTGGCAAAAAATCCAGTGGTGATTAAATACCACCAAAAGAAAGCTCTATTTGTCTAAAAAAAATGATAAAAATTTCATATCGGTACAGTGTTGCATGACCATGGAATTGTCATTCAAAGTGCGACAGCTCTGAAAGCTGAAAATTGGCCTGGGCAGGAAGGGGGTGAAAGTGCCTGGTAGACAAGTGATTAAAGTCCAGTGCATTTAAACCCCCATTTTCTTTATCTCTGCACAACACTTCATAACTTATTCTCTATTTTTTATTTCCCCAAATATACCTCAATATAATTTTTTTAATTACTTTAAAATAGGTTCCCGGAAGCTGGGTAGCATTTTTTAAATGAGTAATTTTTCTCCTTCACTGATTTCATAATTTATATAGGCTTTTCAGGACAATTATAATTTTTACCAAATTTATCCATCCTATCCAGGAGAGTGGTCCTACCGAGATTCTCCTCAATTCATCCTTTATCTCATTTATTAGTGGGATGTAGTTTCTTTTATATAGATTCTTAGAGGTTAATTTTATTCCCAGGTATTTTAGTTATCTCTGTAAAACCTTTTTTTTTTCAATTATCAGAACATTAACATGTAAAATCTCTAATTTTGACAGGTTGATTTTTAAATTTGGTAACTCTCCATAATATTTAATTATTCTCATTAGATTGGAAAGTGTCAGCCTAGGGTTTACCACATAAAATAGCATATCATCAGCATATGTTGCAACTTTATGTTCTACTGTAGCTCTCCTATCTGTATCCCTTTTACATCCAGACTGTTTCGTACTGTTGCAAAGAGAGGCTCTAAAGATAAGACAAACAGCAGGGGTGAAAGCAAACACCCCTGTCTTGTCCCATTAGACATTTAAAAATACTCTGATAAGGAGCCATTGACCTTTACTGCTGCTGAAGGTTGGCTATAAAGCTATCCACGCTCTCATTTTGGGGCCAATTCCCAAAACCTAGAATGTTTACATCATAAAGCCCCAATCTACCCTATTGAAGGCCTTCTCAGCATCTATCGATAAGATCAATACGGGGGGGTTTTCTCTCTTTACTTTTTTGTATGAGGAATAATGATCTTAGCCCATTATCTCTTCCCTCCCTCCCTCCCAGAGACAAATCCCACTTGATCTAAATGAATCTATTCTGATATTCCATTGTCTTTCAGCCTAGTTGCCAGAACTTTTGCATATACTTTCGTATCAATATTTAACAATGATATAGGCATGTAGCTAGCACATTTGGTCCTATTTTTCCACTTTCTTATGATTGTAATATGTGCTTGCAATGACTCCTATATATACTCAGTTTAGGGACTAATTGTTCTTTGAATTTCTTGTAATATCTCACAGTATACCTCTCTGGCCCAGGTCTCCTCCCTGCAACTGTACCCTTCAGTACCTACTGGATTTCCTCCTGTGCTATTGGTTTTTCTAAAAGTGCTAAATGTTCCTCTCCCAATCTCGGTAATCCCGCCTCTTTTAGATACATCCGTCTTTTTCTAGTTCTTTCTTCTTCCCCCCGTTTAGATTTTTCAGGTTTACTTCATATAACTTCCTATAATATTTTTTAAATGCATTAGCGATATCAATGGTTGAGTACACCATTTCACCATCATCTTTAATTTTCACTATAAAATTCCTTGATTTCTTATTTCTCAGTGCTCTCATTTAATATTTACTAGGTCTATTCCCCCATTGATATCTTTCTCTTGCCATCATGCCATCATTCTTCTCGTTTCTTGCTCCATTAAGTTACTTAATTCATCTCTTTTTTTTATTATTTTCTGTTGTGTATCTTTTACTGTTCTCTTTTTATGTGATTGTTTTAATCCACATAGTTCCCGTATTAACGTATTCATTTTCTTTTGCCATTCTTTCTTTTTTTCTACTCCAATAGCTATCAAAATTCCCCTTATATATGCCTTATGTGCTTCCCACACCATAGCAGTTATGACTCCCTCAGTCTCATTTATTTCAAAGTATTGTTCTATTTCTTTTTTTATTCTCAGTTCAGTCTCGTGATCCTGGAGGAGCATCTCATTTAATTTCCACATGTTTATCTTATTTTACTCTCTTCCCCATAATAACTTCATTGTGACAGGTACATGGTCTGATATTGATGTAACTTCTATTGTTGTTCACTTTACCCGGTGACTCCGGGGCCCTGATTTACTAAGAATAACGTCCAACAGCAGACGCTAAACATTCAGCCGGACCCAATTAAATCAATCAAGAGCAGTTGTCAATGGAAAAACATCTTTGGGTACACTGAATTCTCTTTGTAAATCCCTGACCAGAGTAGACACAATTGTAGAAGCAATGCCAGATATGGTGCCTAGGTGGTGCACAAGCGTGGGCTTTGTCCTGTTCATGTTTATTTGTATGCTAGATGAGAAAATAATGGCTTTTTATATTTCATATGTATGCACTGCTAGTATTGTGGCCTCTAGTAATTTTCTTGCTTTTTTTTTCTCGAAAATTGATCACCCAACTAATGCATTTCCTAATGAATACAAAGTCATACATCCTATTTTTGAATGTCAAACATTTTCAAACTTATATCCAAAATAATTTTAATGTCTAGTTCTAATTTACCAATCTAATGATAAATCTTCATTCTCTTTAACCACTAGCCTACAGGGCACTTATACCCCCTTCCTGCCCAGGCCAATTTTCAGCTTTCAGCTCTGTCACACTTTGAATGACAATTGCGCGGTCATGCAACACTGTACCCATATGAAATTTCTATCATTTTTTTGAGACAGATAGAGATTTGTTTTGGTGGTATTTAATCATCTCTTGGTTTTTTATTTTTTCTTAAACAAACCAAAAACCACTGAAAATTTTGAAATAAAAAAGTTTTTTCTTAGTTTTGTTATAAAATTTTGTAAATAAGTGATTTTTCTCCTTCACTGATGTGCGCTAATGAGGCTGCAGTGATGGGCACTGATAGGCTGCACTAATGGAAACTGATAGGTGGCACTGATGGGCACTGATGAGGAGGCACTAGTAGATGACACTGATGGGCATTGAGAGGCATCACTGATGGGCACTGAAAGGCAGCACTCATATATGGCACTGATAGGCAGCACTAACTGGCACTGACTGGCACTGTTAGGCGGCACTGATAGGCAGCACTGACAGGGCACTGATAGGCGGCACTGATTCACACTGATAAGCGGCACTGACTGGCACTGATAGGCGGCACTGATAGGTGGCACTGACTGGCATTGATAGGTGGCACTGACTGGCATTGATGGGTGACACTGAAAGGCAGCTCAGATGGGCACTGATATGTGGGATTGATGTGCACTGGTAGGCACTGATATGTGGCATTGATGTAGCACGGGTGGGCACTGGCTGGTGGCATGGATGAGCACTGACAGCTGGCACTGATGGACACTGACAGGTGGCACTGCTGGGGCTACACTGATCATCAGGGCACACTGATCATCAGTGCCCTGATGATCAGTGTAGATGTCCCCTATGAGGGATACCGATTACCAGCTCTCCTCTCCTCTCGAGCTGTCAGAGTGACAGCTCGTGAGGAGAGAAATGCCGATAACCGGCATTTCCCTATTTACATGTGATCAGCTGTGATTGGACACAGCTGATCACATGACCAAGCCGACATCTTCGGCATCTTTCCGTTGATCGGTGATCTGCTGTGTCCGAGGGACACAGCTCACCGCCGATCACCACACATGCGTGTGTCAGGAATGGACTTGCCAATAGTGGTGGGACTCACCTGCCTTGTGGGCTGCAGTACCAGGGCTGGCCAGCGGGTGCTCTCAACAACCAGAGGCTCACTTCGGCAATTAGCCATCACCTGGGGCTGATTGCAGGTGGTGTATTTAAGGGATGGCCAGACCTGCAGTCAGTGCCTTGTTGTACTGTTTGCTTGGCCCTGGTTTCCTGATCCTGTTTCTGCCTGTCCTGACGCTGCCTGAACTCTGCCTGTACTGACCTCGGCTAGTCCTGACCACTCTCCCGCCTGCTCCTGGTACTCCGTTTGCCCGTTTGCTATGACCCGGCCTGCCTGACTACTCTTGTATCGTATATTTGTTATCTGTTGGAGGTTTGGTTCAGTTTGTTTGCACTGTGTTCTGTTTAGTTTTGCACTGCGTTTGTATTGTTAGTCTCAATAAATTATATTATTTACTATATCTGAAACCTGCTTTTCCCTGTGTCAGTCCACACACTTCTGGTCATACCCGCATCCCTGACAGCGTGGTTAGAATGGGACGACGTCATATGACGTCCTCCCAGAACGAGAGAACCACCTTGCGCCCGTCATTGTACTATATGGCGGGCGGGAGGTGGTTAATCATGTTACTATTGTGCATTCTAGCTCAAACTCTATCTCTTATAGTGGTTAGCACTCTTGGCTTTCTCTGTTCGGGTGTGTTTCTGCCAACACTCCAAAGATATGGTGTTAGTTTAATTGGGCCTAGGGTCAATTTCCAGGGCTCTGTCAGTGCCAGGAATATTGAAGGAATATTGATCAATCAATTAAAATTTTGGCTACTGACTAGAAAGTGGAGAGAGTAGAAGAGCTGACTGGTGCATGCTTGTGTCTGTGCCACCTGTATAGTTAGGAAGAACAATAACTTCTTCTATGGGATATCTTGAACCTCTGCCATGTACCTCAATGTGTCTAGGAATCGGACACATTTTTTCCTGAAAATACAACAATTATTAGTTTCCCCTGAAGCAAGCATGAAGTAACCCTTTGGTATTATAAAGCATCCCGAATTCTCATTTGCCAGAATATACCCAATTATGCATGGACCAGATCTGTGTGCCCAGATAGGACCTCCCAGTGGCTATTCTATGGACAAGGTACACTTTTATTTATGCCTGAGCTATGTTGAGTTGCATTAGCCAATACGTTGCAATTGCCAGAATTATTTTTACACAAACCACATGAGCTCAGGTATCCAAAGGTGAATTTTCCTTCATAGCAAACCTCGATTATGTACTGTATGGGCCTGGCCCATTCTAAATGATTGCATTGTTCCAGTAGGTCCTCCTATTATAGACTTTAGCTACAGGTTGAGGAAACTGCACCAAGTTTTCATTAATCAGATTGCATAGTATCTGGCCAGCTTAAGTCTAGGAAATAGAATCAAGAGGACATGACACTTTTTCAGGAAAAAAACAGTCTTTTTGAAAAATCACAGGCAAATACAAGGCCTGATTTGAACACATGACTTGGAGGGAGTCTGCAAGCTCCCAGTTGGTTGTAAAACCAAAACAATGCTCCGTTCTTCACCAGCACACGGCTCAACCACATCTGGAAAATATGGAGACTCCAATATCCCTTGCAAGTTCATTCAGGAACGAGAAGCAATTATGCACCCCCCAAAGCAGCATAAAGGAATGGGATGGAAAAGTTGCTGTGCTACTTCCAAACCACCTCTGGCATGCCAGGGTGTTTATGTAGGTCCTTGATGACAGTTTTTGCCTGGTGACCAAAATATCCACTTTGAATGTGGCTTTCTTCCAGCCTGAACCACAAGCAGGACCACTCCTGTATAATGAGAGCAAAGAATAATGACAACACAAGGTCCCCCCTCCCCCAGGCACACTAATGCTTACTTGAGCCCCATCCTTACTCCCTGATGGGCTTGAAAAGCTCTGATCTATAGGATCATTGGCTCATGAGTGGGTCTTTTTGGGCTCACACAAGAACAAGGTGCTTGTTCTGGGGGCACTTGACAGGAGAGAGGAGCCAAGGAATGCTGGCGGGGGAGCAACGAAACTAAGGATCTGGGCTGCTCTGTGGCAAACTACTACGCAGAGCAGGTAAGTCTTACATGTTTATTATTTTATTTTGGAACAATTGTTAACCACTTGCCCTCCAGAGGATTTACCCCCCTTAATGACCAGGCAACTTTTTGCTACGCTACACTAATTAAACTGACAATTGCGCGGTCATGCAATGCTGTACCCAAACAAAATGTATGTCCTTTTTTTCTCACAAATAGACCTTTCTTTCAGTGGTATTTGATCACCTGTGCGATATTTTTTACTATCGGCTATAAAAAATATATAGTGAATTCAAAGTTAGTTATAAATTTAGGCCAAAATGTATTCTGCTACATGTTTTTGGTAAAAAAAAAATCCCAATAAGTGTATATTGATTGCTTTGTGTGAAAGTTATAGCGTTCACTTTTTTTGCTATACAGTGCTGCGCTAGTTTAACGGACAATTGCGCTGTCATGAAATATGGTACATAAATGAAATTTATGTTCTTTTTTTCACACAAATAGAGCTTTCTTTTGGTGGTATTTGATCCCCTGTGCACTTTTTATTTTTGGTGCTATAAGCAGAAAAATTTTGAAGAAAATTTAAAAAAAAAAAAAAAAAAAAAAAAATATTTTCTCATTTCAGTCATAAAAAATATCCAAAAAAAACTAAAATTTTGTCATAAATTTATACCAAAATGTATTCTGCTACATGTTTTTGGTTAAAAAAAATCCCAATAAGTGTATATTGATTGCTTGAAAGTGATAGTGTCTACAAGCTATGGTATAGATAATGGAATTCACACAGCTTTTACTTTCTGACTGTCCATCACATTTCTTGAGGTGCTAAAACACCAGGATAGTTCAAACACCCCCAAATGACCCCTTTTTGGAAAATAGACACCCTAAGCTATCTGCTGAGAGGCATATTGAGTCCATGGAAAATTTATATTTTTCCACAAGTTTCTGGAAAATGACAAAAACATTTTTTTTTTACACAAAGTTTAATTTAAATGATATATTTCTCACACAAGCCATGGGTATATGTGGAATTACACCCCAAAATACATTCTGCTACTTCTACCGAGTATGGGGATACCACATGTGTGAGACTTTTTGGGAGCCTGGCCACATACAGGAGCCTGAAATCCAATGACCACTTTGAAAGCCTGAAGGTACGTAACTTCCTCATTTCACTTCCTCACTACCTATCACAGTTTCAAAGGCCCTGAAATGCCAGGATAGCACCAACCCCCCCCCCCCCCAAAAAAATGATCCCTTTTTTGGAAAATAGACACCCCGAGAAATTTAAAAAGAGGCATAGTGAGTATTTTGCAGATCTCATTTTTTCTCACAAGGTTTTGAAATAAAAAAAAAGAAAAGAAAAAAATATGTTTTTGTTTTTTTTTCTTCATTTTCCAAAAACTTGTGGCAACAAACGAGATCTGCAAAATACTCACCGTGCTTCTTATCAAATTCCTTGGGGTGTCTACTTTCCAAAAATGGGCTATTTGGGGTGGTTTGGTGCTATGCTGGCATTTCAGGGCCACTGAAACTGTGATAGGTAGTCAGGAAGTGTAATGAGGAATAAAGCCCTTTAAAGCCTGAACGTGCTTATTGGATTTTGGGCTCCTGTACTTGGCTGGACTGCCAAAACGTCTCTCACATGTGGTACCCCCATACTCGGGAGAAGTAGCAGAATGTATTTTGGGGAGTAATTCCACATATACCCATGGCATGTGTGAGTCGTAAATCATTTAAGTGACAATTATGAGTAAAAAAAAAAAAAAAAAACATTTTTGTCATTTTTCAAAAACTTGTGGTCAAAAAATTAACTCTTCTATTATTTCAACATGCCTCTCAGCAAAAAGTTTGGGGTATCTACTTTCCAAAAAGGGTCATTTTGGGAGGTGGGGGCATTTTATGCCCAGCATTAGAAGTTTATGCCACACATCCCTCACTCTTCTAACCACCTGAAGAGCAAGCCTTTTCTGACACTTTTTGTTCACATGAAAAAAATCTGTATTTTTTGCTAGGAAATTCATTAAACCCCCAAACAATATTTTTTTTTTTAAAGCAGACATCCTAGTGAATAAAATGGTGGGTGCTACAATTTTTATGCCACATAGCACTCGCGCAGCTTTTTTTCAAACGCAAATTTAAAAAAAATTTTTTTACTTTTAATGCACAAAAACATAATATATTGGCCAATTATTAATTATGAATAAATAGATACCAAACATGAAATTATTTAAAACTGTGCATGCCCCGTGCAATGGCGACAAACTGCATACGTTTTTAATATCCATAGGCAATGTTTTAAAAGCCTTTACAAACTACCATTTTAGATTTACAGAGGAGGTCTAGTGTTAGAATTGCCCTTGATCTGACGTTCACGGCTATACCTCACATGCATGGTGCAACCGGTGTTTACCTACCGACACAGGGTCAATGCTTCTGCACACGGGGGGGGGGGGCAGTGTTTTTTTTTAAGTTATTTTGATTTTTTAAATTATTTTTACACTGTCCCTTTAATTTTTTTTATTTGATCACTTTTAATGCTATCACAGGAAATGCAAATATCTCCTATAACTTCAATGGGCATTGTCATATATTCTTTTTTGAGAAATCTGGGGACTATCAGACTGTAGATATCTCCTCTGCCCTTACATTATCTAATCAAACCAAGATCGGTGTGACCAGATGCTTTCCCAGTTTACAAATGGAGCTGTTTATATCCTGCGAAACTGAACTGATGAACTGCTCGTAGCTTTTGATTTCTTAGACTATAGAGATGATTGCCACCATTCTGGTCTCCAATCAGCTCTATGGTCAGCTGGCAGAAACACCGGCTGCATTCTCAGGTTCCCCCGATGGCACGGGACTGCTCGAGAAGGCCATGGAAGGCAGCAGGGGAGGGGGGGCATCATCCTGCTGCTTGTAAAAGCAATTCTGCAGCTAATTAGCCACTAGGATTAGCATCCTAGAATCCTAATGGATCATAAATGCTCTTTACTGTAGACAAATGAAGGGCTTGTCACAGGCTGATGCTTGAAATGTGAATGTGTCTTGTTTAACATTCCAAAG